TCCCTCACTTTCTCCAGCCTCCCCCTGTGCCTTGAGCTGCGGACTCCAGATCCCCGAGCTCAGCTCTCGGAGAGCCGGCCAGGAGCAGGCTGGAAGGGGGGCAGCATCCTCCCTCCCTCCCGTCGGTTTTACGTAGGGCGGCAGATCTGCAAAGGGAGACAATGTGGAGAGGCAGAACCCTCCACGGCAGCAGGATCTCCCCTCCCGAGCTTCCTGGGAGGCTCAGGAGAAGGAAAGGCAGATTTAGGCAGACTTCTTGCTCTTCAGTCTCTGCTGTGACGGGATTTGCAGGTTATTAATTACAGGGATGCTGCTGGAAGAGCAAGCAGGAGAAAAGTGCAAGTTGCAGAGCAGCCAGTCCTCCATGTTATGTGCAGAGAAGCAAAAGATCCTTTATTTGGAGGAGAAGGTGAAGGTTTTGGTCTCCCCTTTTTTATAAAATCATAGAATAGTTTGGGTTGGAAGGGACCTTTAAAGGTCATCTAGTCCAACCCCTGTTAATATTACTATTAACAGTGAGAGAAACTTGTACCGGATGGGAAAGAGAACTCACCCACGTGTCTGCGTTTCGTTTAATGCTTTCAAGAAAGAAACAAAAAGAAACCCCGGCTCAATTAATTTGTGGTGAGGTACATGACATCATTTACCCCCATCACTTCTGTCCAGTCTCATTATCCCTTTAGAAAACCTGAGAACCAGAGCCATCAGAGGAAACCGTGGCTCCAATGGGGACAGCGACGGTCCTTCTGCTGACTCCTCCAGAGACCAACATTTCAACCTTTGCATGGGGCAATTTCCCCACACTGCTTCTCTACACAGAGTCATAGAATCACCGAATGGTTTATGTTGGAAGGGACCTTGAAGATCCCCTCATTCCAACGCCCCTGCCCTGGGCAGGGACACCTCCCACCAGACCAGGTTGCTCAAAGCCCCATCCAGCCTGGCCTTGAACACCTCCAGGGATGGGGCAGCCACAGCTTCTCTGGGCAACCTGCCCCAGGGGATCACCACCCGCACAGTCAAGAATTTCTTCCTAATATCTCACCTCAATCTCCCCTCTTTCAGTGTCAAACCGTCCCCCCTCGTCCCACGGCTCCCCTCCCTGATCCAGAGTCCCTCCCCAGCTCTCCTGGAGCCCCTTTAGGCACTGGAAGGGGCTCTGAGGTCTCCCCTTTTTGGCCTTCTCTTCTCCAGGCTGAACCCCCCCAACTCTC